CTATAGAATAATAATAATAATCATATATGATTATTAACCGAAGGAAACTTTAAAAAAAAAAAAAAAAAAAAAAAGAGGAACACACAAAAAATTAAAAACAATTCGAGATAAATATACATGACTGAAGGAGGGATAATAGAGAGAGGACCTTTACATGAATATATATAAATATTTAACGTGAATGTGAAGAGTTTGTATTTATGTGAATGTGAAGGGATTAAACATATCCACTAAACATCAATCTATACATCCTTTTATTTGAATTAACAAAGTTTTAGTTAGACCTAAAGGTGGAAAAATAACCTGTCCCGCCCAGCCTACGGCAGGTTATGGAAATAGGCCCACCTCTTGGCCAAAAAGGCTGGCCCAGCCCAGTCCGCCAACCCTAACCCGACGGGGTTTTGGTGCTGGTAGGGTCGGGCTAGCCCATAATTTTTTTAATTTTAATTTTTTTTCTTTTGTGTAATTGTTTTTAGTTAACTTTTCAAATATCAATAATTCAATTAAATTAATTTTTTTTTGTTAACATTTCAAATTTTAATACAATTAAATTGTAATATAAGAAAAATTAGATTTATTCATTTATAAAAAAAAATAAAATAAGAAATAAGAAATTACAATAATTATTGCCTCATTAAAAATCTTAACAAGAAAAACCCAATTGGGACAAAAACTTGGTAAGGAAAAAGAGTGCAATAATTGACAATTAATTTACAAGTTACAATTTACAAAACAACTAATTTGAGGGTTGACTAGGACCTCCCTCTTCCGTATCATTTATATTACAAAATTGAAATGATTCTATTAATGTATCATTGACAACCTCGTATTGATCCTGATGGTGCGACCGTTCCTAATCTCGAAAACAGTGAGGACTTCAATCATTTTTTGTGAAAGTTTAGTTCTCCTTTCATTTAAAATTCTTTCACTTGTACTAAATGTTTGTTCGAATGAGACGGTTGAGACAGGAACAGAGAAAACATCCAGGACAAGTCTTGATAATACCGGAAAAATACATTTTCTGGTTTTCTAATATTCTAAGACATCAAAGTTGGCTATTTGTTGTGGATCTGCTAGCAACAGATGGGGGGTTCCCAAATATTGGTGAAGCTCATTACTTTGTAACTGCATGAGAGTTTTCCGATAAATTATGAGAGTTTAGGCCCTATTTATAGAAAAAAAATGGGAAAAGAAAATGACCAAATAGACCCCTTCAACTGCTATAAAACAGCTATATTTCAAGGATAAAAGGGATATTTGCAAAAAATAATAATAATAATAATAATTTATTTTTTTCGTCCAACTCGGCGGGTTGCTTTTAATGGCCAACTCGCCGGGTCAACCCGACGAGTTCGAGGGGTTTTAAAAAAAAAAAAAAAAAAAAATATATATATATATATATATAACCCGTCGGATTGCCAGGCTCTGTTTTAAAAACCAAACTGGATCAGCCGGTTGGACCTGTCTGACCTGGACCCGGTAGCTTCTCTAGTCCAGTTTAGCTCTTAGGGGGGTTTTTATAATATTTCAAAAATTATAAGGGTTAATTCTTAATTTTATAGGGGTGTTTTGGAGATATGTCAAAAGTTTAGGGATTAATTGGTAATTTTTTTGGGACATTTTTGAAATAAATAAAAATTTTAGAGACTAATTTGAACTTTTTTAGGGGAATTTTTGCAATATATTAAAATTTGAGGGATTAATATGTAATTTTTTAAAAATAAAATTGTCGTTGACGTCATCGGTCCAACCGGTCAACCGATTGACCCGTGACCTGGGCAGTAAAATGGGTTGTCCTTTGGTCCAAGTTTTAAAACAATGTCGTCGGGTTGACCTATGAAAACCCGACCCGCCTAATGGGGTATGCACGGGTCGGGTTGGTTTTCCCGCCTAATGGGGTATGCACGGGTCGGGTTGAACCCGACCCGCCTTTTAGGCGGTCGAGGTTGAACCTAGATTGATGCAAGCCGGGTTAGGGTTGACACGCTTAATCTGACCCATTTGTTCTACCTCTAGTTAGACCTTTGGGATTCTCAATAAAGCATAATCATTATTTAATATCATATTGTTATTAATATGTCATTAATACCAAAAAAATATCAACCACCAATTACATTAAACCTAACAAAAAATCCTACTCATCCACATATCCCACATCATCACCAATCACATATAGTTAAATGTACATATCTTATATCATCTCTAATCACATATAGCTATGTGTCAAACAATCATTCATCATGTCGAAATGAAGCAACTGGAGAGCTTGAAGTCCTACATGACAATTATATAGACATATAGATACAGATAGATGACATGATTCCAATGATTGAGATAGTTAAAGATGATTCAGTACCATAATTCAATAGAGGGACTTGAGGGAAATTTTATAAATATACGCGGGACACCGCAGCTAATCGAATAATACTAGAAACGTCTACATAAGGTTAAGTTCAAGAGCTGCATTTTTTACAATTTTTAAACCGTAAAATTAATGCATTAAAATGGTTAAAACTGCATCTAAATTGTTTCATTTCTAAGATAAATTAAATGTAATTACCTCAAATCCCAACCATCCAAAGTGAGTTGATCTAACAACCTAAAAATTATATCCTAATTTATGTAAAAAATGTGGTAACCTCAAACCTTCACCATACATGCACACATTGCTCCATAATTTTTCTTATGGCTTCAGTTTGATTGCACGAACCAGAAAAAATTTATGCTTTCAGTTTGATTACTAAATGGACAGAAAGAAATCAACTAATTATAATTTGATTACATTCCAAAATGTTTTCTCCAGATGTTTCTTAATAAGACACCTTAGGCGCTGGCTAACAGGGCTTGCCGAGTCAATTTAATTACCAAAAATACTGCCCCCGGTTCATCCTACAGATACGTATATGAACAATATTTCTCCAAACATGTTTCCTGCGAGGTGACTGACAGATTAATATAAATACTGCACCTACAGTCATGCATCATTGTTTTAAGAAGTGTGATCTTTCTTTTGGCCTCCTAGAATACAAGAAATCTGCAGACCTCTGCAATCGCTTGGCTAAAGAGCATACGAGTCTGGAATACTGAGATGAAAGGAAACCACGCCAGGAATGCAACTACAGTGAAGAGAAGTAAACCCATAACAATTTCATAGCAATAAGCAAATGTCTGAACTAATTCCCAGTACCCAGCTCGCTGATCTAGAGGCTTCAATGCTTGTGCAATCTGGAAAAATAAGGGTTTAAAAATGAAGGCAAAATTGAGAATCCACAGTCTTGATCATACAAGAAAAATAATCAAGGGTGACTCCTTACCAACAACATTCCCCAACCAGTGGGCGCGAAAGCAAAAATAAACACAATATTTTCTTGCAAAGGACCAAGTGAACCCGCTATCAAACTGATTATAGCGCAGACTAAATAAAGCGCCAGAATCACCTTCATAATTCGGAGCCAACGTTGGAAATATACACTGGATCTTAGCACGTGTAAAATCTAGGGAAAGAAAAAGAAAATTTTGTGAGACTACAAAAATCAAAACATGCAATATATTAAGACAATGCATATACAAAAAAAATAATAAAAAGTTATTGCACTGTCAGTTGCATGCTGTTGGCGATCTGTTACAAATATTTGTTTGATCAAATGAGCTGGATCACATTAAATCATTTAACAACGCAGCGTCTTTTTTGCCTAAATAGTTTGCACCTTCCTTTTCCCTTTTCATTTACCTTTTTTTTTTTTTTTTTTTTTCCCCAAAGAATTGGTAAGCTTAGATAGAAAGTTTTAATACAAGTACAAAATGCATACAACTATATGAAGAATCTAGATACTCACCCACGTCCAAAAAAATGTGCACAAGACTGGTGCAACAGAGACCTACGATCAAGTAAGAAAAAGGTGGTGTAATGTCGGTTACGGTATTTATATTTGTAAGATAAAAAGTTACTAAAAGCAGAAATAAATTATACAATTTGGAGCTGAGAACATACCTCCAAATTGACGTACTTTGTAATATTCAGATGATATACAGGCCCATACTGATAGATAAAGAATCTTAAAGATAACAGTATCTCGGCAATGATGCCAACCACTCCAGAATGCCGAAGATGCTCTTGTTCTTCCTCTCACCATGATTCCCAACTCTTTTCTGGAGGTACACCAATACCTCCTCGGTTCCTTATCCACTTATTCCAATCAGTCCAATCATCAACAATCTTTTGCCACTCGAAACCGGAAGGATTGAATAGGAATGGAACAAAAAGCCAGGTGCCCACCATAAACCACATAGAAATTGTGATCAAGATGTAAGCAACTGCACCTCTATAAGATTGACCAAAGATTTGGTACACGATAAGCATGATCATCATCTCAATACCCTTGACAAAGTGACAACAGAAATAAAGCCTGTAATTGTCCGCAAATTTGGTATGGAAAACCACAAACCCACGACCAGTAGACCTATATTTTGCACCTCCATGAAGTAATGTCCTTCTGTAATAATGAGCCTTCGTTCCAAGAGAGAAAGTGAAAAACATTGGTCCCAAATGCAATTGCATCAGAAAAAATTGACTTATTACAGTCTAGAAACCCCTCTCCAAGCCAATTTCCACCAACATAGGCAAGACCATCAAAAATCCAAATTGAACAAAAGATTGAGAAGTAAGAGCTACTTAAAGAGGCATATTGTCTTGAATTGCTGGCTGAGTACTCAACCCTTCTTCAAGACCACTAAGTACAAGATAGAAATTGCCATACAGGAACACATACATAGTGAGCACAATTATCTGTCAAAAAAGAAAAAAAAGATAGCTACAAACACAAACAAGCCCAAAAAAAGTGAAAAAAGAATAAATGTGCAATATACCAGAGTACTTAAGTAGAATCCAATGGTAGTGAAATAGCATGACAACATTAGGAAAAAGTCGAACTGGTGTCCAAGCTGGTATATATCTTGACTCAGTGTCTGCTCCCCACTGCCATTAGCTATCTTAGCTTCAAACATAGAAATCTGATTCAGGCCGACATCCCTTCCCTTCCCTTCCCGACTTGTATGCATTCATGATGGGTAACACTGCCTTCTTGAAAGGTAAAATTGAAGCCTGCAGACACAACCAAATAACACATGTTACCATTAATATCCAACTATCCAAGATCATCCACATAAGCAAGCAAAAAAAATAAATAAATAAATAAAAAAAGTTCCAGAGACCAGCATACCAGCAAATATGTCTTCACTCAAATTGATGACCTTGGGTGCTTTACTGACACCTCCTCTAGTAAGGTGAAAAAGCCTATCAAACACATCTGGATGACCATAATGGAATCGAACCCTGCATAACCAGAAACAAGGACATAGCCAATCAGCCCAGACAAGCATACGGAAAATAACGAAAGAAAAGACATATTTATTAAGAAAGCGGTGACCTCAAAGATGCTCAGACTCATCTTATTGCAATATTATTAAACGTTTCAGCCATCAAGATTGATCATAATATCAGTGACCCTTTCAATTCATTCAAAATATCCAAGACTCGATGCTGAAGTAAAAACTTCCATTTGCTAATCTTTTCCTCTTCAAACATGAAAATGAAATTTACTTAACGACACCCATTCTGAAACTTTTCAGTTTTTAAACACATTGTTTTATACTAGGGTTTGTGGTAATCTCCAAGCATTCGACTATATTAAGTTTTACCCAATTGTGCTATGAACATACTTGGTAAAACGTTTGAGCTACACCAAGACGGTAAGACCATGTTTGTTTGTTGATGTTTCGATATCCTGATATGTATATGAATATATATAAACATCGTACTTACATAATATTTTCAATTGTTATATGTTAGGATCCCACATTGAAAAGGAAAAGGGTGGGCATGTGGGTTATAAAGGCTTGGGCACCCTCCCTTGGTAAGCCGGTTTTCCAAGGAGAGTTCTACCCAAGCCCATGAAAGACCCATGACCCAGCCCAAATTGTTGAGTTATTGGAGTGGGTTCCTATCAATTGGTATCAGAGGATGATCCTGTGGATGCGTGGCAGGCTGACCTTGGGCCTGGGCTGTTACCCCAAGGAAAAGGGATCCGCGTAGTCATCCAAGGGGTAAAGAGGCCGACTTGGACATCGGTTGTGGAAGCACGGTGGAATGCTAGGATCCCACATTGAAAGGGAAAAGGATAGGCATGTGGGTTATAAAGGCTTAGGCACCCTCCCTTGGCAAGCCGATTTTCCAATGAGAGTTCTACCCAAGCCCATGAAAGATCCATGGCCCAACCTAAATTGTTGAATTATTAAAGTGGGTTTCTATCAATTGGTATCAGAGCATGATCCTGTGGACGCATGGCAGGCTGACCTTGGGCCTGAGCTGTTACCCCAAGGAAAGAGGATCCGCAAAGTCACCCAAGGGGTAAAGAGGCCGACGTGGAGCCCACGCAGCAGGGCCTAGTGGGCCTCCGAGGGGTCGAGAAGGAGAGTTGCTGACAAGCTTCTAGGCAAAGTAAGACCCAAAGAAAGGACAGTAAAGGCCGATGAGGGCAGACGCTCTCTAGAAAGAAGACCAATGAGGGCGTTAGGTCTCAAAGCATGGGGGAATGTTAGGATCCCACATTGAAAAGGAAAAGAGTGCGCATGTGGATTATAAAGGCTTGGGCACCCTCCCTTGGCAAGCCGATTTTCCAAGGAGAGTTCTACCCAAGCCCATGAAAGACCCATGGCCTGACCCAAATTATTGAGTTATTAGAGTGGGTTCCTATCATTATAACAGTTCAACACTGTTTTTGATTCAACCTGGTGCAGAGCGGGGACACAAATTCTACTTAACTAACACATAGGGTGCGTTTGGTTTATTATTTTGGATAGGATTTTGGGAATAATATTGGGTAGTTGAGTAGAGGAGTATTACGAGGTAAAATTTAAAAATTTATAAAAAAACCCCCTAGGTTTGCTAATTTAATTAAACACCCCAACATATAAAATGACAAAAATACCCCCACCACCCGCAGTGCCTGATTCTAGCCACCACTGCCAGAATCTGGCCGAAAAATTGCGTTACGACACAGACTGGTCGGATCTGTGTCGTAACGCCTTGCTATGGCCAAAAGTGGCCGTCGACGGCTAGAAAAGGCCAAAGAAATGGCCGTCGTTTTCGGTCAACGATGGCCAAGATTTAGCCGTTGCTAACGGCCAAATCAGTGAACTACCAGCCTTTTTTGGTCGTGGTGTAGGCCATCGTATAGATTTCGGCTACCACCGACGGTGGTTGCCGGAATCTGGCAAGTCTACGTTGATGGGGGTGTTTTTGTTAATTTTTAAAGTTTTTTTTTTTTGGGTATTTAGTGAAATTAATAAACTTAAGGGATCTAAAAGTAATTTAAAAAAATATAGTAATATTTCTGGAATAATGTGCCAAACAATATTTAGAGAATGGGCTTGGGAATATAGGTAGAAATAATAAGCCAAACGCACCCATAAATATCATCATAATTTATATTCATAAAAACATCCCCGAAGAAAGTCATAAGTATGGGGAGCTATAGTTCAATTTTGTAAAACCCACAATATTGCTAAGCTGCCCGTAAAAAAGAAATACAAATATTTATGGATCTTAACTTCTAACTTGTGTCTATCTTTCTGCAATAGGAATAAATAATATCAACGATGATTTTAGAAGCAAAAAAGATGGTTTTCCCTACAAACTTTTCATATAAATAAGTTCTCCCAATTTTGATTTTCACATATATACATATATATACTTTTGCAAAAACATGCAAATAACATAAAAGAAGAGAAGATTTGAAGAAAGGGATTCGAAACATGATAACTTACTTCAGAGGGTTGGCTAACAGTCTTTGACCAATTGTCACAAAACTGGTCTCCTGATTTGACATGAACCAAGCAAGTGAAGAAACACTGCATCAAATAATAAAAGAATTATTAAATAATTTATATAAGACTGCAAATTAAAATCCAGGGTCATTAAAGTGCTTTTTACCTTCCAGTAAATATATGCTCTCTAAGTCCAAGAATAGTCGGATACCTCACACCATCATGCTTTTTGAGGAATTCTTGCAGCAAATTCCTCATTTTTAAGGCTTCTTCCATGTAGTTATCCTGTAGAAATGAACACCTTAGCAAACTGAACATGGCTGCGGGATGCTGTAATTATGACATTCCTTTATACTATTACCAAACCTGGTTCATATCTATTGTTTGCAAGCCTTCTCCACGGGTGAAAATAATAGCATGGTTTTGATTTTCTGGCTTTCCCTCACCCAAAATAGCAGGTCCAGGAAGTTTTATACGATAAATTTCCTGTGAGTGGAAACAAGAAGAACGAATTGAACATGTTATGATGCTGAATATTGACACTNAGAGTAGCAATTTTAGAGTAGAAACTAATCAAAAAATGCCAATGCCAACAGCTTCAGAGAAACAACCTTCAGAACTTCAGAACTAAAAAACAACAACTTCAGAGTAAATGTTAATGACAACAGCTTCAGAGCAACAACCTTCAGAACTTCAGAACTAAAAACAACAACCTCAGAGTAAAATGTTGATGATAACAGCTTCAAAACAACAACCTTCACGCTTCAGAACAACAACCTTCAGAACTAAAAACAACAACTTCAGAGTAAATGTTAATGACAATTGCTTCAGAACAACAACCTTCACGCTTCAGAAAAACAACCTCCAGAACTAAAAACAACAACTTCAGAGTAAAAAAAAAAAAAATCTCACTGATCCATCACAAAATGCCATCAGAATTAACCACTGCTTCCCTACTTCACTACTTCACTGCTTTTTGCCAACAATAGCTGCAACACAATAACTAACCAACTTCCAAATGCCATAATGCTTCAATCACTACTACCATCAGAATTAATCACTGCTTCACTACTTCACTACTTCACTGCTTTTTGCCAACAATAGCTGCAACACAATAACTAACTAACTGCATAATACCATAATGCATCAATCACTACTATACTGCTTTAGACATTAGTATCTTTATCACAACAATTAATCAACACACAATGCTGCCAACATGAACAAACATGCAGCCAACATAAACAAATCACTACTTCACTATTTCACTATTTCAGACAGCAGTAGCTTTAACCACTGCTTTATTCAACTAAAATTTTGCTGCAGCAGATTCAGTCACTACTACCAACATTTTACTGCAGCACATTCAGTTACTACTGCCAATACTTCAACATTTTACTGCAGTAGATTCAGTCAGATTTAACAGTCAGCTTTGCTTTTAATTCTTCAAATTGAGCAGCAGGAAGAGGCTTAGTGAGTATGTCAGCAATTTGCAACTTAGAAGTTACATATTGAACAACAACCTTATTAGCCAATACTTGTTCACGAATATAGTGAGTGTCAATTTCTATGTGTTTGGTACGAGCATGAAAAACCGGATTTGAGGCCAAGGCTCCAGCACTCACATTGTCACACCATATAACTGGAGTTTTGTTGAAGGACAATCCTAATTCAGTAAACACACTATTCAGCCAAGCAATTTCAGTAGCTGTATGTGCAAGTGCCCTATACTCAGCTTCAGTAGAGGAAAGAGCCACTACTTTTTGTTTTCTAGAGCTCCATTGGATTAAGTTAGGACCTAGGAACATACAATACCCACTAGTTGACCTTCTATCTTCTATATTACTTCTCCAATCAGCATCAGCATAACACTCAATTTGAAGAGAGACAGCAGGAGTGATTTTCAGCCCATGATCTTTAGTACCCTGAATATATTGCAGGACTCTTTTACAAGCTTGCCAATGAAGGGTAGTAGGAGCTTGTAAGAATTGACTTAACTTATTAACTATAAAGCTCAAATCTGGTCTAGTTAAAGTCAAATACTGTAAAGCTCATATAGTACTCCTAAACAGACTGGGATTAGAAAACAGATCACTATCTCTTGAAAATAGTCTTGCACTAGTAGCCATAGGAGTAGCACATGCATTAGCTTCTAACATATTTGTCTTGGCAAGTAAATCATTAGCATATTTGGATTGTTTTAAATGTAAACCAGTGGCTGTCCTTGTTGCTTCCAATCCTCAAAAATAATGGATTGAGCCAAGTGTTTTGAGTGCAAATTGGTCATTAAGCTCCTGCACTAACTGTTTTATGTAGGACAAATCTGAACCGGTTAACAATATGTCATCAACATAAACCAAAATGTAAATGACTTGACCATTTTGATGCAGGATGAACAGGCTCGAATCTGATACAGAATTAACAAAATCAGTCCTCTCCTTACCACCATTGGTGTCTAATAGCATAAGCAAATCAAACACCAATGTTGTCTCATCAAAAAGTCCATGGCCATCAGGTCATAAAATAACGTCAACAATTATAACTTTTCCTGTTTCCTCCGGAATTGATTTTCTACAATTTTTCAAGATCTTCACACAGTCTTCATAATTCTAGGAGTGTAACATCCACTGTAAAGAAAATTTATAAATTTATCAACATAAAATTTGATTGAATAGGTCTGCAAGAATTAAAATTTGTTAGGAATTAGATCAACAATTTCTCTTAATAAAGAAAGTAACATTAAATTAATAGTTGACGACCCCAATAATTTGTGTTTTTATTGTGTAGCAAGACTCTAGAGATCCATATTATGTAATGCAAATTAGGCATGGCAATGGTCCCCGGAATTCCAGGGACCTGTTCAGCCCCACCCCATATAGGGCAAGGAAGCCCCAGTTTTTTCGGGGATAGGGGCAAGGGTGGGGGGTGTTGTAATCCCCGTTTTCAGGGATGGGGCGAGGGTGGGTGATGCCTTTCACCCGCCCCATGTATTATATATAGTTTTATATCTATATATATATATATATATAATATAATATATATATATATATATATATCTTTTAATAATACTAATACCCCTATATACTTCACCTATATACAATTATCCTACTTATATAAACCCAACCTAAACAATTAACAAAAACAACCCTAACCTATTGTCGCCATTGCTGTTCGCCAATGTCGATTTCTCACGCTAGTTTGATCTCTCCGATCTGGCCAAACTTCAACTCTCTCTCTCCAAGGTATTTTCATTCATCTTCAGTATTGACAGTGATTAGTTAATATTGATAAAGATACGAGACATGATTTTAAAACTAAACAAACAATTAAGTTTTGTGTTAGTATGATTAGGATCATGAAGTGAAGTGCTGTAATCATTATCTCCATAAATACACAAAGTGGGATTTCAAATTACTTTTCATGTGGATGAGAATTAACTATGTTTAAGCGATTAATTTAAGTGTTTGTCATGTGAATGAGAATTAATTGTCTTTGGTAATGCTCAAATTTATGTTTATGTAAAATTAATAGGGCGGAGATGGGCCTCTAACATTCCCAATGGGGTGGGGAAGGGGAATTCCTGTCATCCCCATAACAGGGATGAGGCGGGATTGGGGAGTGATTTTGAGGGTGGGGATGGGTACGGTGAATGAGATCCCCGCCCCGCCTCGTCCTATTGGCATGCCTAATGCAAATAGAAATACTTGGCTAAACGCTTGATAAATTACCTTCATAATAATTGTATCAGCTCGAGGAACGGCTTCAAATATGTCACCTTCAACATGAGAGACACCATCATACTTGGGCGCTGTGGCAATGACATGAGGCAAATCAAAATTGATGCCTTTAATATGTAGATACTATTAGGATTCATGCATTTTGGACATGGAAATGGTGTAAAATGGATGAACAAGATGATGGATGCAAGGTAGAAAACAAACATAACATCAATGGCAATTTTAAATAAAAAGGGAATAGTATATTACCTACTCCTTTGCTATTAAATGCTTGATGTTAAACCTTGGAGTCTAGATTCTTCGAAAGAGAATGAAGAAACTCAAAATGTAATCCACCCAAGCCAAAGATGAGAGAGAGCTAAGAGAGTGCCCTTTGTTTTAAATTGTTGCAAATTGAATGAAAATGGTATAACACTTGGTTTATATACCATGGGAACAAAGTGTAATTTTAAATTGTCTTGGGAGGTCCTCAAACAATTTAAAATTAATCTTGGGAAAGAGCATTTATGTCAAGTCCTTGGTTTTATGTTTAATTCATAATTAGCCAAATTTTAATCCTATTAATTATTCTAACTCTTTAGAATAAAACCAATGCACTTTTGTCCCCATTATTGAATCCAATTCAATACTAATATTTAATAAATCCTTATTACCCTTGGTTACTGCTAGCTATCCATGGATAATCATTTCTCACCAATACACTATTTCGGATGCAACTGTTTACGTCCGAACATCATTAATCTGATCAGTGATATGTATTACTCTATCTTCTTGAGCTTGCTTTTATGTGTTACCATTTTGGTTCACTGTGATCTAGCCGTGGGCCCAATATCAGATTCTGATATGTTTCATTATAACTCTTTATAATCGAAACTCCCACTGATTATGGTAGACGTCTAGTAATGTTCCATAACCCCTAAACCACAATGAAGTGTAAACTCCAATGAACCTATTCTGATCGTACGTACCGTGTAATAAAATCCCTTCGTTATCTAATCCCGATTAAGAATGGTTCATGGTATGTCAAAACCCTTAACTTAATCTTTAATCAAATTGTCAATCGATATAATGGAACGCGTCAACATGAAACTACTTTTCATCTGACATTCATTATACTCTGGCCAGAGATTTCCTTTTTCTAATGTTTATTGACATTCGTCTGGGAACTCGAGATTGGACTATTTTGAGTTAATGAATCCCATCTTGACCATCACTTAGTCCTCGCACATGAATAACATATGACCAAACCAGCTTATTACACAAGGCGTGACTAGTCTCGTGCTTATACACCATATGAACCATATGCATCCTATGTTGAATTCAACCATGATGTCTCAGGTCTAAGGATCAGTGGTACACTAGCACGATCCTACCATGCATCATTGACCACGTCCATGTGATTCATCGTAATCGGTCGTTTTCGATAAATAGTTCACTAACCGTTTATCCATGCTAATGTCTTAGTGACATACCTCTTATAATCACCCACAATAATACCATCACATGATATTCAATGGAGACATTCAACATGCCTACTATGTAATGTTATTGCACAATTAACATTACTTGCGTAGGGAATTCTTCGATAATCTGATCTTCTAAAGATCCGTGTCATCTGGACATTTCACATGCAATATTAATTATAATATAAATGAAGCAGTAAATCAACATGTGAAATAAGAACACTTTCTTTTATTCATAATACATTTACAAGATATAATGTCCTTAAACTGACAACACGATTG